ACACTCTATCCGCTGAGCCAAACCGGTTAGGGTGGTCACTGCTTTTTTAGAAGTTAATTTTTTAGCAATACTTCTTAATATCAGAACTTTTTCAGGACAGTGTCCCTCACAGTCTTTGATGACAAATCTCCAGTGATACTTGGTTTTGTTTAAACGGCTGCCCCAAAATCATTTGGGATGGAGAGGGCACTCGAAAATTTAACTTTTATTGGATAGGGTATTAGTTTCCGACTTCAGCATTTGTCTTTAAAGAATTCTGAATGCACATGGAAATCACAGGAAATCACTTTTTTGGGGGTCGTCTATATTAATTATCTCTGGTTGCATACAAATTACCCCAAATTATTAACTTAAACACCAAGAGTTAGGAATCTGGTTCAGGGTCTCTAACAAAGCCTAATGAAGGTGCATTGACCAGGGCTGAGGTCATAATCAAGGGTTGATTAGGGGATGATCTGCTTCCAGTCTCTCTCACGTGGCTGTAGGCAGCCATCCGGTCCTCACTGCTGTGGTTGGAGACGTCAGTTCTTTGCCATGTGGGCCTCTCCATAGGGCAGCTCATAACATGGCAGCTTTCTTTAAAGCAAGTGGGCGAGAGAGCAGTGTAAAATAGAAGCCACAGTCTTTTTGTAACCTAATCTTGGAAGTGAAAACACTTAGTTTTTTCTTTTTGTTAGAAGGAAGCCACTAGGTCCAGTTCATATTCAAATAGAGAGTATTTCACAGGGTCTGAACACCAGAACAGGTTCATATGGGGTCATTGTAAAGGCTGACTGCCACACCATTTGTCTTAAGGTGTATTATCCTGTCATAAGATATAAAGCCATCTGACACCACAGTGGCTGTTAAATAACCATGATGTCTAGAATTCAGGTGAGGAATTTGCAATAATAGATATTCCTTGGTTTGGGGTGATAATCCTTCCATAAAGAAAAATGGAGGAGGGTGTATAAAACAGCATGACAATAGAAGTTCTCTCGGTTTTCATTTTAATATGAAAGCAGAAATCAATTTTAAAATATATATATATATATTTATTGATTTCAGAAAGGAAGGGAGAGGGAGAGAGAGATAGAAACATTAGTGATGAGAGAGAATCATTGAATGGCTGCAACCTGCATGCACCCCACTGGAGATGGAGCCTGCAACCTGGACATGTGCCCTTGACCAGAATCGAACCTAGGACCCTTCAATCCACAGGCTGACACTCTATCCACTGAGACAAACCGGCTAGGGCCAGAAATGAAATTTTAATGATAAACCTGCAAACATTCCAAGTGTGAATGTAAAATGGCACAGTCATGTTGGGAAAAAGTTTGATAGTATCTTTAAAAAACTTAAATATAACCCTGGCTGGGTGGTTCAATTGGTTGGAGCATCCTCCCAATGTGCTGAGGTTTTGGGTTGGGTTTGATCCCTGGTCAGGGCACATGCAGGAATCAACCAATGGGTGCATAAATGGGTGGAACAATAACCCACCCCCCCATTCCTCTCTCTTTCTAAAAAAATCAATAAAAAAGAAGAAATATAAACTTGCCATATCACCAAACATTTCAGTCCTTCCTAGGCATCTACTCAGGAGAAATGAAAACATGTTTATATGATGATACGATGTATACAAATGTTCACAACATTATTTATAACGGCCCAAAACTTGAAACAATCTAAACCAATTGGTGAGTGGATACACAAATACAACCAAAAACTACCCAGTGATAATATGGAGTGAAACACTGACATGGATAAACCTCACAAAAAATATATGAGAAAGAAGGCAGATGAGCCCTAGCCCAGGGGTGGGCAAACCCTGGCACGCATGCCAAACATGGCACGTCAGTAACTTTTGCTAGCATGCAAAACCCTCTCTTATAATCTTCCATTTACAATTTTTTTCTTAATATCGACTTTTTTTTCAGATAAATTCAGTGTAGGTGTATCTTAATTTTACATAAGTTATCTTAAAGACTATAGACATGGATTGACAAGAGAGGGGAAGAGCAATTTCTATGCCTCTGCCTTTACTCTCCCTGCCTTCCTAGATCCGACCAGTGTTTTGGTTTCAGCCTCAGACGCAACGGGTTTTCCTTGACAAGACAACCGCCTCACCTACTTATTCAAAATTTCACTCTATAAAAATGAAACCTCTCTCGCTTTGCCCACTGGTACTAATGAAGGGGAATAAATTTCTATGTTTCTCTCGGCAGCAAAAGTCCCACTGATAATATCAAATGGAGTCATAAAGTTTTCTGTCAGACTATCAGTGTACATGTATACATGAAAAAATGTATTTTTCATCATATACTGTGTTTCTGTCGCTAGAATGAATTTTATTATTTCTTCAAGGTTCTTCACATACGTACACCTTAAGAGATATCAAGTAGGCGTAACATGTTCCCCAAAAATTAGGGTTGGCACGCAGAAGAATTTTGAGTCAGAGATTTTGCTGGTTTTGGCACGCACTCACAAAAAGGTTGCCCACCCCTGCCCTAGCCGGTTTGGTTCTGTGAATAGAGTGATAGCCTGTGGACTGAAGGGTCCTGGGTTCGATTCTGGTCAAGGGCAAATGCCCAAGTTGCGGGCTCCATGCCCAGTAGGGGGCGTGCAGGAGGCAGATCCATGATTCTCATCATGTTTCTCTCTCCCTCTCCCTTCCTCTCTGAAATCAATAAAAATGTATTTAAAAAATATAAGGCAAAGATCATCTATTGTAAGATTCCATTTATATGAACTGTCTAGAACAGGTAAATCCACTGAGACAGTAAATTAGTTGTTGGGGCTGAGGATGGGTATGAAGGATCCTATGGGGTGAGGGAAATGTGAAATTAGGGTTATGGTTGTACAAATCTAAGTTTACTGAGAATCATTGCATTGTATAAAAATGGGTGAATCTCATAACATGTAATTTATACTTTAATACAATTGATATAAAAATATTTTCAATGATAATGGGTGAAAACGAGCTTGCTCAGCATAAATCAAGTTCAGCTGTGTCAGCTTCAGGCCTTATGCCACTTCCCTTTTCCTCCCATCAGTCTGAAATTTGGTCCTAAGATTGAATTCTGGGACCTTGGTCCCTGATATGGCTAATTGTCAAATCATTAAGCCACAGAAAGTTGATTGTATTTCTGTTATGGCCCTTCTATTCCCCCCCCCCCCGCATCTGCTTTTTTAGTCTCAGTTTCCTTTGGGTTAATTTTTAAAGGATTTTGCAATTACTGGTTTAAAAGAGTACTACCCCCACCCAATCTCCTTTTCATCTCAGATAGAAGATAGCTGATTTTCCTACTTTTCGGCTGTTCGAAGAATAAAATGATCATTGCTGCCTGGACTGTGTAGGAGATTAATTTCACTTTGGCTGCTGGAGACTCGTGGCAATCATTCTCCAAGTTTTTCTACGTCTTTACCTTCTTATCTGATAGTTCTGGGCCATCGAGGGGGAATTTTGGTGTTTTCCTCCTCTCATTCCTAAACTAATTTCACTTAAAAAAAAAAAAACACAACAACAACACTAGATTCTTCACTGGAAAAAAAAATCAAGTTACCTACTTGCTTCCAGTTTCATTGCAACACATTTTGAAAACGGACTACTGTGCTGGCCAGCAACCTAAGCAAGTTAAAGTAAAACTTCCAAAGGGGCCAAGGTCTAAAGTTCGCACATTCTTACGACGTCTGTTCGGCCTCCCTCCGCCGGGGGAGACCCCATTATCCACCGCTCTGCCAATCACGTCCACTTCCTTTCAAGCCTCATGAAAGAGGAAAAAGAAGTTCAAGGGAGGGAAAGGAGGGTTCAAATGAAGGTCAGGTGCCCAGGCGTTTTCTGGTTAGTGCGGCAGGGACGGACGAAGTGGGGAAAAGGTGACCAGATGTGAGCGGCCCCGGGAGGCGGCCGGGCAGGAAGGAGAGGACGGCCCGTCTTTGAGACACGCGGTGACCCCGAGGGCCCACTGCGTGCCAGGTGCCGGGGACACAAAGACAACGGTGGGATGCCTGTGTCCCAGGCGCCGCGCACGCATCCCGACAACGTCCGCCTCGAAGGCACCCGCTGTCCTTTTTTTAGGCTGCATCAGGTGGGGGCCATCTCGGGTCGCCTCGCAGCCGGCGGACGTTGAAGGAATATTGGGGGGCGGGGAAGAAACGCTCCCCTCCCGTCCCCCGCACTGGGCCGGCCCTGCAGGCGAAGACAAAGACAACGGTGGGATGCCTGTGTCCCAGGCTCCGCGCACGCATCCCGACAACGTCCGCCTCGAAGGCACCCGCTGTCCTTTTTTTAGGCTGCATCAGGTGGGGGCCATCTCGGGTCGCCTCGCAGCCGGCGGACGTTGAAGGAATATTGGGGGGCGGGGAAGAAACGCTCCCCTCCCGTCCCCCGCACTGGGCCGGCCCTGCAGGCGAAGACAGACACGCCAAAGGGCA